AAAGTAAAATAACCCGGCAAGACCAGGGTCGAACCACAAGGAGGTGAATTATATAAATTACAAATAAAAAAAATTTGAAGAGAATAATAACAGAAAAGGAGTTGAAGAAAGTTTTGGGATGTGATATTGATGTAAGGATTAAACAATAACAAAACATATGTCAAGGTTATAGGATTCACTATTAGCTCACAAAGAAGGTTCTAATCAGATGATTTCTCGTTATTAGCTCATTATAAATTACTAACATGATCATATTAATTATCTTATCTAAGTAATACCATACTTATAAATATCATCAAGCATTCATGTTGCTAGTTTATGTTAACAACAAATCAAGTTCCTATCATAATAAAGATGTCGGCCGAAAACTATGAAGGATCAAACATTTGATGTACCAAATATTATACAACACAAATCTAAATTAACCATTTAATAAGCAAGGTATTAAGAATTAGTAAGATAAAGAGATAAAACATGTTAATAACAATCTTTCTTGGATATAAACATTTAAAGCTCATGTTGAGTTTATATTATACCTATTCTAACACCATTAGAAAAACCTTTTCACCTTGACAAAATTAACTTAGCTAAACATTAAGAAGGAGAAAAACATAAATAAGCAATATAAGAACATAAACATAATATAAGCTAACTAAGTATAGGAAAGGAAATGAAAGAGCATAAACAAGAGATTACTATAGCATGAAAGAAAACTTGAATATTACAAAGATGTAGAGAGAAAGCAAGAAGATAACTTTGATCTGAAAATTAATATGACTAAATACATGGACAATGCCTCCTTTTATAGGCTAAGTTTTAGAATTATTGATTGATTGAAGAATTGGTGGGCATCCATTGATTTGGTGGCTGGTTTTTGACATTAATGGCTACTGGTTTTTTGATATTGTGGGCTGATTTTTGATATTGTTGGCTGGCAAAAACATCATTGCTCACATCAGAATTATAGCCAACTGAATTGTGGAAGTTGTGGGCAATTTTCTCAGCTTTCCAACAAAAAAAACCAGACCTCAGTTGAACTTTTAGAACTCAAGATATGAGCCAAAAACTGAATAGTGTTTGAGCTGTAGGACAGCTTCCGACATCTTCGTTGTTGCTAAGATTTGAGCTTGAAAACGGCAGAACTGAGTCTTTAAGTCCATATAAAAGTTGTAGGTCTATGTCTTACCTTTCTATCAATATAAAATGGACCTAAATCTGATATCTACAGCTCCAGATATGATCAAATTACCGAACAGTGTTCGAGTTTGGAATGCACTAGCAACACTTTGCTAAGTTTGGCCTTCTTTTTATCCTTTCAATTTCAATCCTTAAACTCATCAATCAATCCTTTTATTTATGTGATAGACCTGCATTTAGGATGAACATTTACCATGAATTAAAGGTATATTATATTTTTAGACTTGCTAATATAAAACATGCTTTTGTTAGGGAATTTAATGATACTTTAGGTGCAATATGATGACATAAATCCTTAATGAGAATGCACTTTTAAGTACTAATCAACCTTGCTTTGTGGACTTTATAAATTGTTCTTCTATTTTAACACTTTGATTGCCAGAGACTAGTAATAAGCTGGTTGGGGGGTGTGATTAGTATTTAAAAGTGTATTTTTATCAACGTTTTATATCATCATTTTGCACTTGAAATATCAATAACTCTATAACTAAAATATGTTTTATAATAACATATCTAATAATATAAGATACCTTTAATTTGTGGTTTTTCAAATGTAAGGCGATCACATAAATAAAAGGATTAATTAATGAGTTTAAGAACTGAAATTGAAAGAACAAAGAGATGACCAAACTTAGAAAATAGAAGTTGGCGTAGTCCAAACTAGAACACTGTTCGGTAATTAGGTCATATCTAGAGCTATAGATCTCGGATTTAAGTCTGCTTTATATGGATGGAAAGGTAAGACTTATGCCTACAACTTTCATAGAGCCCAAGATTTAAAAATTTCATTTTTAAGTCTAAATTGTAGAAAAAAAAGTTTGAATCTGTCCTCCAACTCGAACATTATTCAGTGTTTGGCCTATATCTGGAGTTCTAAGAGCTAAAATAACCTCTATTTTTTTTTCCTGGAAAGCTGAGATAATATTCTACAACTTTCATATTTTAAGTGGTTTTAATTATGACATTAGCAATGACGTTTTGGGTAGATAAGAGAAAATAAGGATTATCACCAAGTCAAAAGTTGGTCACCCACTCATCAATTAGTCATCAAATCAATAGTTCCCAATTTTGGCCTCTAAAAGGAGGCATTTGCCATGTATTTAGGCATCTTGGCTTCTAGATCAAGATCATGCTTTTGCTTTTTGTCTTTGTATTTTTGTAATGGTTAAGTTTTGCTTTTATTAATATCTTATTCATGCTTTTCATTTCTTTTCCTTTACTTAGTTAACTTTTATCTTATTTATGTTCTTATGTTATTTGTTTATTTTTCTTTCTTTCATTATGTTTAGTTAAGTTTATTATGTCAAGGTGAAAATGTTATACTAATGGTGTAAGAATAAGTATAGTGTAAACTTAACATGGACTTAATATTTGATACTAACATGTTTTATATTTGTTATCTTGTTCACTCTTTAATACTTTGCTTGTTAAATGACTAATCTAGATTTATGTTATATAACACTTGGTACAATAAGTGCTTAGTACTTTTATAGCCCATGCTGTATGGTATAACTGACACTTGAGCTATGAAAAGAACTTGATTTGTTGTTAACATAAGTTATAAGTATGAATGTCTGACAATATTTACAAGTATTAACATTATTTGAATAAGATAACTAATGTAATCATGTTAGCAATTTATAATCTAATTGGAACCTTCTTTATGTGTGGTTTCTATTTTAGTAATAAGAGTATATACTATACTTGTTTGACACACCATTAGTAGATCCTCTAACCTTGACATTTATTGTTATCATTATTTAATCTTTACGTTAATCTTCCATCTCAAAGTTCTCATCAACTTTTTTTTTTTATTATTATTATTGTTGTTGTTGTTCTTGTATTATTGTTATCTATAATTTATACAATTAACCTCCCTGTGGTTCGACCCCGGTCTTGCCGGGTTATTTATTACTTCGACACTCCTACACTTGGGAGAAGACATCAATCTTTTGGTCATGTCACAAGGTGAAAAGGTTACACTAATAGTATAAGAATAAGTATAATGTAAATTCAACATGGACCTTAATATTTTATACTAACATGTTTTGTATTTATTATCTTGTTCACTTTTAATACTTTGCTTGTTAAATGGTTAATCTAGATTTATATTGTATAGCACTTGATACAACAAATACTTGACACTTTCATAGCCTAATTGTATGGTATATAACCTATACTTATGCTATGAAAAGAACTTGATTTGTTGTTAACATAAGTTATAATCATGAATGTATAGCAATATTTACAAGTATTAGCATTATTCGAATAAAATAACTAATGTAATCATGTTAACAATTTATAATCCAATTAGAACCTCCTTTGTGTGTGATTTCCAGTTGAATAATAAGAGTTTATATTATGCTTATTTGAAATACCATTAGTGGATCCTCTAACCTTGACATTTGTTTTTATTATTGTATGATCCTCACAATTAATCTTCCATCTCAAAGTTCTTATTAATTTCTTCTTTTTCTTCTACTACTATTATTACTATTACTATTACTATTGTTGTTATTGTTATATTGTTGTTAGTTATAATTTATATAATTAATCTTCTTGTGGTTCGACCCCAGTCTTGCCAAGTTATTTAATACTTTGACACTTCTGTACTTGGAAGAAAACATTAATCTTTTGGTTGTGTCATTATTATTAAGAGCAAATAAGACCCTAGCTAGTTATAAAACCTGGATTGATCCGGCAGGTCGATCTAGTGACGGGACTAGTCCGAGTTTAATAAAAGACTAGCCATGACAATAGCCGACAACAGCCGGTCAACTAGACGGGTCAACTCATGATTCGGGTAAACTTGGATGAGACCTTTTTTTTTTTAAATTTGGGATTTGAAACCCATTAGCATATGTAATTTATGTTCCCAAGAAAAAAATGATGATGTTTTTGAATGTAGAATAAAGGATAACATAATATCTTTTTAACGTGGGACTTGAAGTCCTTTTGTATATATATTCTATCTTTCAAGAAAAAAAGTTATGTTTTTTTAATGTGAGATTTGAAATCCATTAGTATATATACTCTATGTTCCTAAGAAGAAAATTATTTTTTTTCAATGTGTGATACAAAATTTTTTGATTTAAATATTCAACTTAAAATCTTTTCAATGTGGGATTTGAAATCCTTTCGTATATGTACTCTATGTTTTCTTGAAAACAATTATGTTTTTTCATTATGAGATTTAAAACCCATTAATATATATGTTTTATGTTCTCAAGAGAAAAATTATTTCTTCAATGTGAGATAATTTGTTTTTAGTTTAAATGCTTTAACTTAAAAGCTTAACATAATATCTTTTTAATATGGGATAAAAACTTTAAAAATATTAATTTTAAACTTCATTATTTACAATATGTATAGCTTATATTTATATGAATTTTTTATTAATTTTTTCATATGATATATAAAGCTTTAAATATTTTTTTTAATTTTTTTAGGTTAACTCGAGTTGATTCAGGTAACTTATAAAACATGAAACCTGATCTCTTAATCAAATAAATCTAGATTGGATTTAATAACTATAATCCTAGTAACCTCTTTTTTTTTTTAAATTCCATTATTTCACGGACATTCACATATGTAATTTATCCATAGTTCCATGCAGTAAATTACCATTCAGTGGATTTCCAAACAAAACATTGAGTTTCGAACGGGGTTAAAATACGAGGGAGGGACAACGGAAAACGAATAATGAAGTATGGACGAAAACATAAAAAGTCTTGGGACCGTTATGTCTCCTTATTGAAAATCAGGGATAGCTTTTGATTCCTCCCAAATCTTTGTGGGGCCATGCCTGTTTGTTCCCCTGAGGTCCTATCCGTTAAATCGGACCAGGTCATTAGAAACCCAAACAAACTCAACCATGGCAACAGCCGCAGCTGCTTACCTCTCACTTCTCCCTCCAAAACCCCAAATCTTCAGCAAACGACATGAAAATCACCGTTGTCTGCTCCTACTCAAACTCTCTCGCAGAGACGCTGCCTTGCTCTCATTCCTTGGTCTCGTCCCTTCCGCTCCTGCTTCTGCCTTCTCCGTCGGCATCTGTAAGCAACACTACACTCTCTCATCGCTCATTAAATGATGATTAATTTCTCGCTAATTGCTTTCAAAATGCAGCAGGACCGAAGGACTGGCTGAAAGATCAAAAGAAGAAGACTGCAAAATATGTATTGGCTCCTATCGATGCCTCCCGTGAAATCCTTCGATCTGCCTATCTCTTGCTAAGTAAGTACTGTTTCACCCTTTTTTTGTTGATTTTTTAAATAGGGTTAATTTGGCTAGTTCTTGGCAGCGGAAAGTCAATCCGAATTTAAGGAAGAGAAATTAGAGGAAGTTCAAAGACTGTTAAAATCTGCCGCTAGGGATTGTGTTCCTCAAGATAGAAATTCGTTTGTTGCATTTCAGGCTAATACAGGAGTGGAGGTTTGTGCATTTTGTTATCATTTATCTTCGTAATTAGGGTTTTGATTGATCGTGTTAAGTAATCATAGGCTTGATTTTAATGTGAATAGGTTTGCACGTTTCGTTTGATTGTGAAGAATGCTGCTTCCTTGCTTGATAAAAAGGACCCTGTAAAGTTGGAAGCAGAAGCTATTTTGGATGATCTTATAAGGTAACCACCTTTTCTTCTGTTTTTAGTACATTGCAACAAATATAAACTACTGCATTGTATTAACATTCCAAACCTGTGCTCATTTGAAGATGATTTTTTCCATTGTTATTAAATTTTGAATGTATATCAACAAAGATGAAACTGTCTTTTAATTGTTTATAAAGTAGTAATAACGACTGCATTTAGTCTGGTTATGATTTATAAACCAAATATATGGATTTTGACCTAAGTACCCTCCCATAAATGCAGAAGCAAATGAATGTTACTTTCATTACCAACCACTTCAAAATAAAGCAAATGCTGATGGAATTTGGAGATAATTGGTAAATGCTGTGGATAATGTTTAGCTTATTTAGGCTGCCTGATTCCAAAATCAACCTAGAGACTTAACATTGTGATTTATGTTATGTGAATAATTCATGATTGATTTTGTAACATTCACTTAAAGAGCATTTTGCTCAATGATTATTGTACTGTAGATCTTTCACTTCCCTTGACGGTCTGGCGAATGAAGCTAATGTTCAACTTGCTTCTGACAGGTCCGTTTCCCATACTATGCTTATAAGAACCACACTAATTAGTGAATTTGATTGTTAATTATTTTGTTTGGGAAGGAGATGACCGGAAGGGAGGGGAGGAAATTGGAGGGGACTAATAAGTTAACCTAGTCTGGGAAAAAAAATTAATACGAGGGGAAGTGAAATTGTATAACCTCCATTCCCTCCTCCTTATTAAAATATCTCCTCCCAAATTGGGGGTAATGGAGCAGGGAATAAATTTTGGACTCAAATTTATGATTATATCCTTGTTATTTATTCATGAAAATCTATTCAAGCAACATGAATGTAATCTAATAACAAGACCTCTCTTTCTCATCCTTTAAGCAAATAAAGAAAATTTTTTGACCTCCCCTAAAAAGTTCCCGAACATTGGTTCTTCTTGCTAGCAGGGTTACATACCTTGTTTGTTAACATTTTAATTTGGTGAAATCTTTTGTCAACAAGTTTTGTTCGTTCTTCATTTCTCTGAATTTTTGAATTGTGGCAGTCAATATGCTTGTCAAGTGAAGCTGAATTGCATGTACAAGCCCATTTAGCATTCCTCCTGAATTTTCTAACACGCCCTCCCATCATCCCTTCTGTTTTTGGCAGACAGAAGGTTGCTGATGCACTCATGAATACTATATCTTCACTTGATAAATTCGAGCAGGGAGTGAAGGACTGCCTTGAAGCTTGACAATTCAGGTCTTCTTCCAGAATTGGAGCATTCAGGTTGTGGTCAAGGTCTTATAGATATTTTTCCCTTTCAGAGATGGTTTTTACTTGATTTTTTTTTCTTTCTGCTTGATTCCTGTTGCCCCTTTTCATGGGTTTTTTTGTTAAATCCTTGATAGAGGCAAGGTGCCTGTATCATAGAATATCACAACTGGAACAAATCGGTTTGGTTATGCGTAGTTCCATTTTATTTTGTTTGCTTTTTTCCACCAGTTGTGGAATTCACGTACAGGGACAGGAATCTCTCTCTCTCTCTCTCTCTCTCTGTCGCTGGAGAAGATAAACCACCCATGCTTTCTATTGACTTGTTAACCCGCACCAGCATCGATTGATATGGGTAATAAGAAAAACTGTCCAGGATTGCTCCATTTTATGAAAATTCAAGAGACCGGTGATTATCTGTTCTTTTGTGAACATAGTGACAAAATTGACGCCATACGAGATAAGGTATAATGCAGTTTTGACACAATATATGTGGAGGGTGTTTTGACCGATGACTCCACCACTATGCTTAAATGAGACAAGGAGCCGTTTCAAAACTCTAAGAGCATCTAAAATAGCTAAATGGCCATTTTAACTAGCACTATGAAGAATGTAATCACATATCCATGCTCTTTAACGTGGGAATCATGCTCCATTGAACTGAGTAACCACAGCCACCAACATCTCATTGCCGATCGAGGGGAGCACCTTCTCATCATACTCGAGCCCACGGTGTTGAAAGATATGAGGCAAACATGACACCTTCTCAAATAACAATTTTTCAGTCAAATATACACAAAACAAAAATTCAGTCATACACATTGACCATGTAAAATCCTGATTCAGTCTGATTTTAGTAGAAGAAAATGAAAAAAAAAAAAAAGACGTTGTCCATGACCAATATTTTTTTTTAAATGGTTTGGAAATACAAAAACAAACAGTAACTATCACCAAGATTGGAGATGTTAATTACTCCTTGAACCCCTCTTCGGGTATGGGAAGAAATCAAGTGGGAGGAAAGTAAATTTCAGTTCTGGCCTTGTAGATTCGTCAATATCTTGCTTCGGTTTAAGATTTCTCATCATTATCTTCAAAAAAGTTCTAATGTCACTCATGCTCATTGGATATTCATTTGGTTTTTGAGTTCTTACGTGATTTTTTAAAATTTGGTTTTTAAAGAAAGAAAAGAAAAGAAAAAATAAGAACATAAATAAAAACAAATTTTTATTAGCTATTTAATAGAAAGGAGTGATATTGAAATTTCTTAAAAACCGCAAGAGTTAAATTGAATAAACAAAATAAAACTAGAAATATTAACGAATCAATAAGTGTAAGAGCATAATTTGTTGAAAAAACCAAAGAATTCCATGTAGCATGTTTTAATATCATGCTGACGGATGCACAATCTTGGAAACATATGAAAACATGACGCCAACATAAATATTCCTGTGCCATTGGATTTATTACGTCAAAATAGTAATGATGCACAACTTGACATCGATATCACAAATAGGAGCAGAACCATACGTTCAAAACATGGAATCAAGTGGATGATATGGTCAACGTCTTTGTAAGAATTTCAGAAGCCTGGTGCATTTATATATATATATATATATATATATATATATATAAACAAAAACATAAAAACACACGGTTTACATGAAAATCCCAATCTTCATTACTCTTAACAAAGGAAAGGATACACAAGTCTCTCATGTGAGTGCTATGCACATTCTTTACATGCTACACGTTAGTTATGATATATTTATACATAGTTTATATGGAAGTTCACAATCAAAAACTGCCTCCTAAAGCTAATAACAAATCTGACTAGTTTTCCATTGATAAATCTAGCTTGTTTTCCACAAAATCGGCAACTATCAATAATTGTCGGCAAATTCCCCTGACTATTGCAATCTTTTTTGCTTTGCCACCAATCAACCAGCATCCATGCCAGAATAAATGCGTGTTCAGCTCATTTTAAACATAATATTAACATTTCAAGTATAAAATAATAATATAAAACTTTAATAAAAATACACTTTTAAGTATTAATTACACCTCCCAATTAACTTATTACTAATCCATAGTAATTAAAGTGTTAAAATAGAAAAACAATTTGCAAGTTTCACAAGATAAGAAATTCATCATTCAACTTTCATTAATCTATTCAAATAAACAAACTTTCATTAAATTTATATATTTCCTCAATGCCTCTTTACCAAAATATTAATAAACCTTCCTTTTTGTGTGTTCAATGTATGAAAACATAGATAATGGGGTTTTTATTGGAAGAAAACAATATTATGTTCTAATGTTTAAAGTTAACTTCCTTGGGTTAGGATTATTATCTTTTCTTTTTTATCTTTCTTTTAGTACACACACACACACACACACACACACACCAAATATGTAAAATAATAAAACGGAACTCAATATGTGGCGTTGTTATACTTGAGAATGATCTAAAAGATCGGGTCATAGGTTTCCAAGCTATATACTGATTATAAAAACAAAGAATTAAAAATAAATAAAAACAGATTTCTGGTGCGAATGAACAAGGCAAAACCAGCAATGTCAGGATTCTTAATCAAACACAGAGCATACTTTAAAGGTACATAAAATATAACAAGAATTTAAATAATAAAAATAAAATCTTACTTAAATTTGTAACGTAAATCAATACAGGAGATATTGGTTACAAAGGAGAATGGAGATGACCTACAGATATGAGTTACAGGGAAGAGTCCAATTTTTTTTAAGGAAAAAAATTAGTTGAACTTCTACGGTTTGATGAGTCTCCTTTTATAGACGAGTTATCATGGAAAAGGCCAAAATGTCTTATTGAAAAGTTTGGAGATTCCTTCAGAACATATGTGGCATTGCCTGCCATTATTGAAGATTCCTTCAGAATCCATGTGAACCCATATGACATTACCTGCCATTATTGGGTGATGACAAAATGGAAGATGCCCATGTTTTTTGTGGGACTTCCAGTTGTTGTCTTCTTGCTACCAACACTTGATTTGTATGTTTGTAGTAGTAGGTAATATTTATAGAAAAGCTTAAAATAAATGACCTTTAAACATAGGGACTCAAAACAGTTGATTCAAAAAGATATGGGCTCTAAATAGATGAGCCTAAGAATGAGCCTGAGAAAGTCTGAAATACTTTTTTTTTTTTTAATGTCACTTGATAGGTGGTAAGATACCAAAGCAGTCATTTTTATTATCATCTCTAAGGAAAATGGTAAGAGATATTGAGCCAGATGAGCTGGAGTAGGACAAGGCTGTTTTTAGATCTTGGCTTTGTATAATGCCTTGTACTATTTGTAGGTATTCCTCCTTAATTCCAGCAGAGGTAAGGAGAGCTACAGATGAGCCTTTCAGTTATTTAACAAGCAAAGTATTAAAGAGTGAACAAGATAACAAATATAAAACATGTTAGTATCAAACATTAAAGTCCATGTTAAGTTTACACTATACTTATTCTTACACCATTAGTATAACCTTTTCACCTTGATATAATAAACTTAACTAAACATAATCGAAAGAAAGAAAAATAAATAAACAAAATAAGATAAAAGCTAACTAAGTAAAGGAAAGGAAATGAAAGGCATAAACAAAATATTAATAAAAATAAAACTTAAGCATTACAAAAATACAAAGAGAGAAAGCAAAAGTATGATCTTGATCTAGAAACCAAGATGCCTAAATGCATGGTAAATGCCTCTTTTTATAGGCCAAAATTAGAAACTATTGATTTGATGACTAATTGATGAGTGGGCGACCAACTTTTGCCTTGGTGACAATTCTTATCTTCTATTGTCTGTCCAAAACATCATTGATAATGTTAGAATTGGAACCACTTGAAACATGAAATTGTAAGAAATTGTCATAGCTTTCCAGAAAAAAAAAAATGGAGGTCATTTGGACTTCTAGAACTCCAGATATGGGCCAAACACTAAACAGTATTCGTGATGTAGGACAGATTCAAACTTCTTTATTATTGCTATAATTTGGACATGAAAATAGCCTTATTAAATCTTGAACTCCTCTGAAAGTTGTAGGTCTATGTCTTACCTTTCCATCCATATAAAGTAGACCTAAATTTGAGATCTACAACTACAAATATGACCCAATTACCGAACAATGTTCTGATTTGGATTACATCGGTATCTCTTTTCTAAGTTTGGGCATCTCTTATTCCTTTCAATTTCAGTTCTTAAACTCATCAATTAATTCTTTGATTTATGTGATAGGCTTGCATTTAAAATGAATATTTACCATAAATTAAAGGTATCTTATATTATTAGATATGTTATTATAAAACATGCTTTACTTAAGGAGTTATTGATACTTTAAGTGCAAAATGATGATATAAAACCTTGATAAAAATGCACTTTTAAATATTGAAGGAACTAGAGGGGGAGGTTTGTAGTATTCATGTTACTTTAGAAGTAGAAAAGCCAGGGTATGGTTTTGATTTTGTAAAAGGAAGGCATTGAACCATGCCTATTGGTAATCCCAATACATGTAAGAAGTATTGAAGTCTTAAGGGTTTGTACGAAAGTGCATGGGGAAGGAGAGAGATTGATGTAAGGGTTGCCCCCAATCTTTAGGGGTGGATAACTTTGTGAATGATGCATGTAGAATAGGCGGATTTAGTGTGATCAGAATGTAGTTTGAAATTGATAAAATTGGTAATCTCAAGGATGGCGGCATAATAGGATTGTGGTTTGGTTAAATTCCAGGGTTTGTAGTACCACTTTGGAGGGAAAATTTTTGAAGCAACAATGGAAGGGTTTTCATGATAGAATCCTTCTTTCATAGTTAAAATATTTTGGAAAGTAGTTTTGAAAATATATTTGGATTTGGTTTTTGGAAAGCTAGTTTGTTGTAAAAAAATGAGGGGTTTTGAATCAGAAAGACCTCCTTGGGGTTTTAAAAGGGATTTGGAAATACTACATGTTTAAGATATGGAGTCATTAAAGGCTAGTTGTGAAACATTTTGTGATGCTAGGAGCAATTCTAGTGATTTAGATATAGTGGCAACCCAATGTTAAACTATGTCTGGTTGGACTTGTGGTGGTTTTGTAGTTTCTTCTTCTTCAATAACCACCTTATACTAGGATTTGATAGGTTTGACAACTAAGATAATTGAAGACATAAGTGTTGTAGAAGGTTTAGGGCTCTCTAGTTTTGTAGGCTGGATTTATAGGGTTTT